TCCTTATCCAAAATCTTTCCCTCTTTAAGTCTCTCAACTTTTGAAATATTCACATTAGGCCCCAAAACAATCTTTTCTCACAATCAAGTCCCTAACTTACACTTAAATATTCCCGAAAATTTGGGATATTACAGTTTTACAATCTAGAATAGTCCAAATTATAAAATAGTAGACTCGTATACAATCTAAAATGGTCCAAACTATGAAATTGCAGACTCATATATATTATATATATAGGTGTTTATCAATTGGTTCTCTAAAAAATTAAGTAGGAAAACACCTCAAAATTACATTGATTCAATAAAGCAATATAGAAAAAGGCCAAAATACTCTCATTTTTACTTAAAATATAGGTTATTTTAGTTATTTTCAATGAGAGTTTGTTAAAATCATGCAATTTTATGACCTCTTTCCTCCAAATTTTTAGACGCCAAGCTAGCAAACATTTTTCTTATGTGTCTGTATAAATGTCTCTTGCAAGTTGTCTAATGTCTTAAAACTTATTTTTTTAATTAATTGTTTCAAAAATTACCTATTAGATTGAAAATTCTATTCATATAGATCATGCATATCAATTTTTAAATTAATTTAGTAGGTTGTAATACCTTGAATCCCACATTGGGATGGAAATATGAGTGTGATTGATATATAAATATGAAAACCAATCATTACTAACAACTTGAGTTTAAGCTTTTGAGAGTTCATGGACCTTGACTCAAAGAGTTGTTAAACTAGTGACGAGCTTCAACTCAGCTCCTTTCATGGCCTAATTAGTTTGTTGATTATAAAAAATTTAATATCATTAAATGTATGTTAATAAATAGAGTTTCTTTAATCAAAAGTTTAACATTGTTAAACATATGTAAGCAAAAAGAGTTTCCTTGATAGAAAACTTATAAGTGTAAGATCAATCTAAATATTAACATACATAATCTACATAAATAAAACTTTTAATCTAGAAGTTAATTTTTGAAAATATTAATTAAAAGATAGTTTTTAGACAATTCCTCAAAAAAAAAAAAAAATCGAAGGACCTGCACTACACTATTCCTAAATAATTCATATTAATCCAACTTTCATTAAAAAATTGGAACCCAACTTAAAAAATGCTATTCTCTAATAAATATTTTAAAAAACCAATAGCTTGATTTAGTTTTTTATTTATATTAATCATGCATGTCAAACTTTTTATTAATTGAATATATCTAAATAATTCATTAATTATACAAAATTTAAAACCATTAAATATATGTTAAAAAATATATATTTCTTGATCGAATGATTATACATGTTAGATCATTTTAAAAATTGACATGCAAGATCTATGTCAATACAATACTAAATCCAACAATTGATTTCGAAAAATATTCATATGAGGTGGTATTTTTTAAGAACTCTAATTTTTTAATAGGAGACAAGTTGATATATATTGTTATATATATATATAGTGACAAGATTGATAATTTTTTTGATACATCAGAGGGTGTTGCTTCACAATAGAAAAGTTTAAACCTCTTACCTTGACTCTAAATTAATGTTTTTAACTTAAGTAGAACAATTTTGATGAAAACATAATTATTATTATGAGATAGTGAGAGTAAATGAAGCTCCATGTTTCATAAAATAAGAAAAAAAGTAAAAATGATTTAGATACCCTCTAGTTTGACACACAAGCCACACTCAACCTGTTTAGCAATTAAAAAATAATATAGGTATAGCTAGTTTTCTTATATTATATGCATGATTACATTTTTAAGTTTTTTGTCTTTAATTTTAAACTAAAAATAATAATTTTTTAATAAATATGACATGGAGTGTGTTAGATCAGATAATATTTGTGTTAGCATAAAAAAAAAAAGAGATAATAATATGCCCCAATATCTAAGGAATAATCAACCTATTTAGTGGAATTCCACCTTAAGGATGAAATTTTCAATTTTTTATAGTAAATGACATTGATGGGATTCTTGTCTCCGAATAAAGTTATGATATTCCTTTTTAATCTACAAGTTAAGCATTTTCTTGGTTCTATCTATGCTCATAAGCTTTTCTCTTTTGATCTAAAAAACTGGTGCTTGAAGGAAAAAAAGAAAAAGAAAAAGAAAAAAGACAACAACAACTAAAACTGGTGCTTAATTAGTGAAAAAATAAAATAGGAAATTTTCAAGTCATCAATTTACATAAAGAAATGTAGGAATATTTATAAAAATATTTAAATATTCTTAATAAATTAACACACATAAGTAATTTATTGAAAATATTTCTATTTTATATTTTTATATGTTGACCCGAAAAATTCTTTCTTGAAATAAAACTTGAATACATTAATGCTTCTTTCTAGAATATCCAGCTTCAGAAAAGACAAAATGCTTAAAAAAAAAAAAAGTGTTTAACACAGCTTTAAACCTTTTTTGTGAAAAAATTATTCTAAAAATTACGGCAAGCAAACACTAGAATTATTCAATTGATTCTTACTGAACCTCATGAGCATTTGATAAAATAATTAACAAACCTGGCAAAATTAAGCACAAGATTGA